AACCTGCCTGAAGCCAAGTGAAAAGAACTGCATCCTTTGAATATATAGATTTGTTACCTTATCAATTACTTTGTATGAGTGGGATGCCTTGACATTAGGAATGAATTGATCTTGCTTCTATTTAATTCTCTATTTTTTTCTTTCTAAATTTTTTATGCCCCTCTCTTGGGTTATTCTTTTGGGGTTCTTAGATTCTTGCAAACTACTTTAAAGCATTCTTTGAAATAACACAAAGAATAAATAAACAAGCTCCTTTTCTTTTCCTTTTTACAACCCCCCACCCCCCGCACACTCAAGGCCCCTCTCAGCTTATGCCTCAGTTACTATAAAAACCTTCTGGCTGGTTTCCCTCCTCTAATTTTTCTCTCATAAATGTGGATTCCTCCTCAGTATTGTTTTCATCACTTTACCCAGCTGCTCAAAATCCACGGTTGCTTGGTAATGCCAGTGTAGTAGATATGATCTTCAGGCTTACATTCAGAATCTTCCATCAGTTGCCCACACACTTCCAAATTTATCTCTTACGCTCACTAATAAGGTGCTTCTGCTCTGATAATTCAAAATGATTGCCATCTCTCTACCTACTGCTTGCAACTGTCAAGAACTACAACTTGTATTACCCTTGGAGAACCATTTAATATTTCAGAGCTTCAGTGTCCTCCATCAGACAGTGGGAATAATACTTTGCATATGTGTTATGAGAAATGATAGCATGCAAAATTGCCTAGATTAACTAATCGACCAAATGCATAAAAATGTCTGTCATCTAAACTGCCTGGCACATAGTTGGCACCCAATAAAAACTAATTTAGAACATCCTATTCCTTGCTATTGTTTTACTGCTTGCTTGAACAACCCTGAAAAACTCTGGCCCTTCTTCAGCTGTCAGTTCCTAAAAGGCAGACAATGACCACACAGATATCAGACAAAGGGAGGCTTGAATCCTGGTGTACTCTCTTCTCTGTATTCTATGACCTTCAGCAGGTGACATCAGCATCTTCCTATGTGGTCCTTCCATGGGGACCTGAAAATATAGAGAAGGAGTTCCAGACATGACTGAAACAATCTTTGGAATACAATCGGGGCTGCATCCTCCTGTTGCTTTTTCCTTCTCATTAAAAATTAATGTCTTGTTTGGTTTGCTTCGGTTTGAGATAAGGTGGCTGAGTTGCTCCTTTTATCTATGGCTCCTAGGAAATGAGACTACTATTGTATAGCAGTGAATAAATTTCACTTTTGCTGTAAGATTGTCTTTTCTAGCTGCTAGTAAGCTGAAAACAAACCTAATAGTAACTGTGTTCACCTCACAAAAGACGCCACACCAAGATACACGAATAATCATAAAGTGTAGCTCTTGCTGAAATAGGAACTTTAAATAATCACAATACCGTATTCTCAAGTCATTTGGGTTAACTTTCCTTAACCACAGCCAGTCAAATTGATAGTCAAGATTAATGGCCAAACCAAGGAACCTCTAAAGCTCTGAGAAGTTGGATGAGGCCAGGGAGAATCCTCCTCTGGAAGCTTCAGAGGGAGCACAGCCCTGGAAACAGCTGGATGTTGCTTCTGGCTTCCAGGACTATATAAGGCAATAAATGCTTAATGCTATAAACCACTCAGGTTTTGGAGTTTTGTTATAAGCAGTCCAAGCAATCTAATGCACTATGAGTCTGTGCTTATTTCTGGTCTCACACAGAAAGGGGATTCATCTCTCTGACACACGATAGTAGGCAAACACTTGATCAGTCTTCCTGGCACTGTTTCCCATTTTCTTGAGTTCCCTCTTCCTAAAATGCAAGGCTCTTGCAGATACCTAAGGGTTGCCTCATCTTTAGTATTTTTGCATTTTCTTTCCCTGCAGCCAAGAAGTGACAGGTCAGTGTGGTGACATTTCTGAGCAGGACTCTGCAAAATTAAAAGCCCTGATGAGGAATTAAAGACAAGCGTACTGCAGAGACACCCATAGCCAAGTTACAGAACCAGCCTCGGCGCCCATCATCTCATGAGTGGATAAAGGAAATGTGGTGCACTTGACTCAAGGGAATATCTCTTATTCAGCCATACAAAAAGGATGAAAAGAGATCATTTGCAGGAAAATGGATGGAATTTAAGATCATCCTGTTAAGTGAAAAAACAAGACTCAGAAAAACAAATATCACATGTTCTCTCTCATATGCAGGGTCTAAAGAAAAAAAAAAGATGACATAAAAGTAGAAGGGTTACCTAGAGCAGGAGGAGGGAGGAGCAGGGGGTGGGGCAGGAGAGGGCAAGGGAGGATAACAGGTGAATAGATACGATCAAAGAAGCTACATGCACAGATAAGAACATTTAATGAAACACAACTTTCTGTGTAATATGCACCAATTAAAAATATTAAAATAATATTCTTAAAAGGCTCTCATGTGTCCAGAGACCAAAATCAATGCTATTCCCATTGTTTCCAGACAGTACATATTTTCAGCAGCTCGATGTAATACTTACAATAGTGTCAGAAAAAATA